GATGGATGGATGGATGGATGGATGGATGGATGGATGGATGGATGAACAAATTGAAATCTGTGAGATAAATGATATTTAAAACAGCCTAGTGCTGTTCCCTTGAATTTTATCTGCAAGGTGTTTTGAGATGGCATGTGCTTTACGTTGGCACAGTATAAATAGACTGATTTACATTGGATTGAATACAGATGTCACAGGGACCCGATTTTATAGCATAGGGGGGAGATTTAAAGAAAGTTCCAGCACCAGTAAAAATCATCACAGAAAAAGCTGATATCTGCACATTACATTGCAAAAAATATCCCCTGACACCCTGTGCACTTACATTCCTATAATAATATCCTTGGAAACAATAATAGTTGAACCATATATCATCTTCCACAAAGCTTTGATTTCGTTATGAGGGTATAAGCCCCAGGAAGAAAATCCAGCTACAATAGGACTCTGCCAAGAAATGAACTTTTAAATCCTTGACCAGAGATTTCCAAAGTACATTTCTCCTACCACTGGGAGATAATCAGGAGACATCCTGATCAAATGCCAAAACCACTTTTGTTGGTGATCTATCTTCTTAGAAATCTAGCCACTTTGTTAGTGGATCCTTCTCATATTGTGCTTAATTGAGATGTTAAGGAATGAGGTGTTGGCCGTGTTATACAGTAGATCTGACATTAGAGAGACAAATTTGGCTTGTATTCATAAAAACACAGCTATATAAAGAACTAATATTACTTCATTATTGGATATATGAATGGCACACCGAGCTTAGAAGAGAAGCTGCATGGCAAACAACAGAGAGCTGTTAAAGATGTACAGACATCTGCAAAAAAAAAAAAAAGGCTCCATCTCCCTTTCAGTCATTTCTGTGTTCGTATAAATCTACACAAACTCAACTGGGCGTCTTATTTTTCTTCTTTTTTTTGGGCAAAAGCCGTTATTTTATCTGAAATCGAACTTGCTGAAGCACAGAGAAAACTATGTAACTCCAAAAATCCCTTCAAACCACAGAACAGCCACATTCTCGCAGCAGTTCAGGAGTGCATTAAAACGCACACTGAAGAAAACACAAGCACACACAGAGGATATGCCGTTCATCTCTCGCAGAGATTTAGAAAAGGACGAGAATTCTTTGAAATTCACATATCTTTATAAGACAGGACAAAATGGAAAAGGAGATCGTCTGATTGTTTGAAGACATTTTCTTAAGAGAGTCACATTAATACAAAGATCTATCATGGAATATCAGTATTTTATATACTGCAGTTGTTATACCACATTTTTATATTCTGTAACATCTTTACATGGTAATATGCCAACTTTTCTTCAAAAAGTGTTCAGTTAGTTCATCCAAGAAAAAAGGAAAAAAAAAAAAGAAAAACGTATTAAACAATAAACTCACCATGAAAGGATTACAATACCCTGCAAATGCTCACGGTCTGTCATAATGTCTTTAAGCATTTATCTTTACCACAAGAGAATACACAAAAACTCAATACTTTGGGTAACTCAAATTGATTTGATCCCGCTTGTAATATAAAAGCACATGAAATAACTGAATGCTTTACACAGTCCCAAGGGGAACAGAGACAACACAGTGATACTGTGAGAAGTCATGTCAAGATAAAAAGAAATATGTGAAAAGAGAACCACGTAGAACTGCTATATATTCAGACACAACATGAAATAAAACAGTTGCCTGAGGTTTATCATTCACTTTTAAATCTCCAGGACTGGAGAACAAACTTTGAAATAGGCAGTTTTTCTTTTCAATAAACTGAACCTTCAGAACTCATATTTGGATTTTGTTGTAGTGGGTGGGATTTTTTTTTTTTTTGCCGGCTTCCACTTTCAAAAACATACAGGTCCATTTAAGACTGTAAATATTAGAAATGGCTGGGATAAAAGTTATTAACTGATCCATCATAAATTGATACTGAGGTATCTACGTACTTCTGTAATAGCAAACTCTCCCCCAGAGTCAGGTGTATACTGTGTGTATACTGTTGGCCATGTATAGTCTGTCCGCAGATGTTTTTATACTGCGCCCGTTTTCTAAAGCCAATGTTAGAGTAGGGGCGCCATGACAGAAAGCCAAAGTGGAGCTGACTAAAGCTAGGAGGGACACACACTTACATTTAGTATGTTTCATTATGTGGGAGTCTTAACAGAAGTGGCTTCTATAATAATGGTAGAGGTAAATAATTACTACACATGAACAGCTGAAAAAGAGCTGTATCATAAAAAACATTTCTTTTGGTCAGTAATGTCACAAAACCTTGATGGTGTTAACCAGCATCATTTAAAGGCTGTAGTTTTAAGGTATTATGCGTATTTGCTTTCCTGCTTAGGTAAATACGAAAGGAACAGCACAGTTGTAAGTATACGGTCAAATGGCAGACTGAATAAGGGAGAATTAGCATAGCACAAAGTCTAAAAGCAATCCAAGCATCCTTAAACTCATAAAACCATATAAGGGTAAATTAAAATCTTAGAATAGTTGAATATAGCAAGTAACAAAAGTGATGCTGGTTAGATTTGGCTAACATTAGCTTATCTGCAATTGTAATTATTCACAAATAAAATCTGTATTTTTTTTTTATTCATTCCCTTTTCTAACAAAAATTACATTTTCAGAGGACTCAAGGAAGGCTGGGAATGATGACATACTCCAAATTACTGTAAAAAAAATGTTTTAAAAAAAGACAAACAACAGTAACAAAAAGCAGTGGAAATTGTTGCACTCAGCAGCCTGCCTATGCAATATTAGTAGTTCAAGTAAATGGAAGGTATTGGCAGGTTTACCAAGATTTTTAAATGTTACCACCTCAAAACTATGAAAGTTATTATCATAATTTCCCTTTTGTATAAAGTCCTTTCAGTTCTATGCTGAAAGAAGTTAATGATGGATTCAAATTTTGGCTAGCAGTAATCAGTGACTTTACCTCTCTGCTCTGTAGTGACCAATCCTCATCCTTTAGAGGAGAGTGTGCTGTTTGAACTGAAACTGTGTTTGTGAAAGCAGTTCCCAGTGTTTTTCTGGAAAAAAAATGAGATCTTCTATAAAATACAAAAAATTTGTATGTTGCACATTTTAAAATTCTAGTTTTACTATATCTGTAAGATGAAATGTAATGAAGAAATTAAAATCTTTTAAGTTAACCAAATGGTGACGCTGATTTTGCAGATTAACTATGAATAATATTCCTTAAATATTCCTAAACTATCTTTAACTGAAAAAAGTGATTGGCATCTAATTTCTATAAACACACAAAAAGGTCTACTTTTATTTTAAATATTGAAACTCACTGATAGTCTTTCAGTCTCTATTTCTCCAAAATAAAAATTAATACTATTAGTTGTATTGAAATAGTAGCAAGGAATTATTGTTGCTTTTCTGTTTCTGATAAAATCCCTTTTAATCATCTTGTTTTGTTTTAATACTGTGAGAACATTGTATTGTTGCTTCTGGTCATCATACTGTGAGGACATCAGAACGATTAAAGCCAAGTCAATAATTTATTTATTAACTTTTTATGCATCCAACAATTGCAGCTGTGCAGTCGCCATCAAATGTAGAGCACTTTCTAGAATCGGCTTCATGTGAGACAAACAATTAGAACGACAAAATAAAGCAATAACGGTTATTAGTACTACTATGCAGTGTTTCATATTTATCATCATGGATTCTGACCGGCAGGTTGGTAGAGCAATTCCAGGTTTCCAAGTCAGCGTTTTGGGCGACTTTTGAATCCTTAAAATTAGAGATTCAAAGCACCAAATAATTTGACTGGGTTTCCTGTTTAGGATTTTATGCTGAGCTAACGACTGAGCTCCAGATATAGTTCAAAAGTGCATTGTTAAGGACCTCACAGTAAGAAAGCAAATAGTCATATTTCACGAAACATCAAACTGCTCCCTTAAAGAGGCAATACAGCCGCAGTGATAGCAAATGATGAATATGCTTAGAGCTACAAAAATGTTTGCTTTAGCAGTTTCACACCAAAAAGCTTGAAAATGACAGAGCGTGTGTTTGTGATTTAGGGGTGTGGCGTGACAGATTACTTATCAACTCATTATTCTTGCTATAAAAAGCTAATGAAGTGGAAAGTCAAAGCGAGGCTTCAGCACCTCCAGTAGGTTGAACCATGGCTCTGAGTCATCCTACACTCTCCACAGTCTGTGATACATTTTTAGTGGGTCGTTTAAATTAGATCCACTATCATTCACTTTTACCATATTCAACAACTTAACCAGCACCAACGTGGGTAAATTCCAAGGAGAAATCTCCACTGAATCAGGATGAAAACAAAGACCATAGCTTAATACATTAGTCACCCAGATCACAGTCAGGAAAGAAACCAAAGTAACATCGGAAAAATAAGTTAACATAATTCTGACACATAGAATTTTACAATATGTACATTATTTTTTAAATTAAAATAGATTTGTCAATTGTCTGATTGGATAGGTCCTTCACAGAGCACAGATTTTCATCAACCATCCAGTGTTATCCACAGTTCCCTTTGAAAGCTCAGAGCCAGCCAATCAGAGAGCATGTAAGGCTTCCTCATCACAAGTCCCTGCCAGTATGTTGGTGGCAACTTCAGACAGGGCAAAGCCCTTAGCAACAAAAACGGCAGATGCTTTACCACCTTGACAAACCTTGAAAAAGAAATAAATATAAAATATATGTAATATTTCTATATATATTCATAAACCAAACCCAGATAAATTTTAAACTCTGATGTATTCTCTCCTTTGTACCAAGCTGTAGCCATTATCCCATTTTAAGCCAAGTCTGCTTTTTTTCCGTGTTTGTGAATTTTTGCAGTTTTTTTCAAGGGAAAAAAGTCTTCTTCAAACATGTACATCTTATATGCAGGTAAACAAAATGTAAAAGTGCATGTTTTTATTTTTTTTTATATGTTTTATCCACTATATCCAAAAGTGTTGCAGGCACTTAAGTCCCTCCCAAACAAAGCAGGTGTTTTTCGACAGTGGATCAGGTTGGTTTGGTTAATCCTGGATTCGTCTGGGGCGCTCTGTCTCATTTTGTCTCTGTCGATCTTTCTGTCTCTTGGGGAATGGGCCACCCGGGGGGGCTGCTGCTAGCCCAGGATGTCTAGGTAGACTGGGGTGGCTTTTCCCATGGCAAACAGGACCTTCTGAATGTCCTTAATGTTTAGTCGCTGCTGTGGTTCCCTCTGCCAGCAGCCTAGCATGATGTCGTACACCTCCTTGGGACAAATCCGTGGCCTCTCCAGCACCCGACCCTGGGTTATGCACTCAATAACCTGCAGAGGAGACAGAGCAGTGGAGTGAGACAGGACCATCCTCAGCGACTGATTGCTTTGCTTTGATCATAATGAGAAAGTGGTGTCACTGAGATTTCAGCTAATGAAAATGTGATGAAAAAAAACAAAACAGAACAGATTCACAGCAAAGATGTGTTATATTAAAGTGGAATTTATGTTTTTATTCTTTTGTCCCCACAGCAGAAAGAAAAATCTAAAACATTGTGAGGGTGGACTTGTGAAAGCCAGATTAGTCAGATAACTCAGATAATGATTAGACATTATCATTTATTATCAACTACGTATTGTTGATTTGCATGAAAAAAACTGCTTTACCCTTTAGGTAGCTGTCTTATTATTGCCTTTTGTGAAACTGTCCGGTATTGAGGTCACAAAACAAATGTTGGTATCAGACAAAGATATACAAAGTAAATCCAAAAAAGTATTTTTCAAATACAAATTCATTTATTATGGCACAAAAAATAAGCCAAACCAACATTGAATTGTATCTCTTCTCTTCTTTTCGCTTCTATTGTCCCTTATGAAATTATATTTGCCTCCTTTTTAAATGATGAACTAAAGGACATGCTTATTCCTTTCCAATCTAAATGTATCAGTTCTGGTCTATATAAAGTGGAACTACAATGTGTTAGTCAAAATTTTTCATTATCATTGCTTCAATGGCAGCCATTTAACTTAAGTTCTAATATCCCTCTTTGAGCTTCTCATTTGTTGCAGCATCTTTCAATGCAAATGAAAAACTTCACATCATGCTTTCTCCAGGTAACAGGCAGAGGCATAGCCAGAAAACTTTAAAGGGGTGGCCAGTCAAAAACCAAAGCACACTGAGGGGTGGCCAAAAAGGGATAGGCGCCAGAACCTCAGGCTCAATCTAAACTGGAACGAGCACAACATCCATATTTTCTAAATATGACTAACTATACTTTCCTACAGCCTTTGCTAAAGAAAAGATGCATATATTTAAACATCCATTCTGTCTAAATAAAAGGTTAAGTGGACAAAATTTCTGGGGCAAACGAAATTCCATTGTCATTACTTACCTACTATTATCAAAAATTGTTCTGCATAAGATTTATATTTACATGTACTGATATCTATATTAAGTTATTATTAAAGTAGTTACTTATCTATGATTTCACCGAAGACTCCTAGATGACTTGCAAAGACACATAATTTTCTCTTTACCCCATATAACATAAAATTTAGTTCTGAAGAGAGCATGAATTATATATATATATATATATATATACTTTAATTTTAGTATTTTGATGTGTATATATTTAATTACAGTGTTTTAGTTGTCAAGCAATTGCTAATAAATGAAAAATTCAAATGTTTAATAAGTTTGAACATTCAGAGTATTACTGCTGTCACCGTCTGTATTAGAGGGGGAAAAAAATGGTGGGGGTGGCCACAGGGGTGGCCCCCCATGGGCCCCCATCTAGCTCCGCCCCTGAAGTTTATTTCCTGTATAAGCAAATTATATTCGGTTTATATTTACTGATCTACTTCCACATAACAACAGAACAAATGCATTATAAAAACCCTGTTTAAATGTGGGTCTTTCCCCCATATTGTTTGAATCTCTATGTCATGTTCTACTTCAACAGAAAACAGCCATGGCAGATAAAACACGTTGAGGACTGACAGGATGGAGGATCACATACAGCCTCTTTGCATAAATTCCTCTATAATAAATAGTACAATGAAGCAGCAGCAGGGACTGCAGTCTCCTGGCAACAGCACCCGACCAGGCAAAGCAGTAGTGACTGAGAATCTGGCTGATTTATGAGAAATACTGCAAGTCAGTCTGCAGAGTAACGTTGCGTTTGTTTAGGTTAAATTAGGTCAATTTTAATCCTAGCAATGATTATTATTTCTTCAACTCAACCTCTTTTTTCGGCATCTTTTGTCCAAGTATTATGGATTAGCAAATAATAGTGAAGTTCCAGCAAATTTACTATCAGTCAAAGTACATGTATTAGAAATATGCAATAACTGTGTTTGTGGGAAATGAATGATAAGGTGGTTAAAGGCAAATAGCTATTGAGTAATTTTAAATTGAGCTTTTTTAACAAGGAACTATTGGAATGTTTGCTGCTGCTTTCTCAGCATAACAATTTCAGTGTTGCACCACTTAAAACTGGTTGACACTACTGGTCGTAACAATCTGCCTGATCACGCTAGTGACTCAAGTCTTTTCTAAAGCTACGTACACAAACTGCGATTTCAGCCATACTGGATAGGGACATACACAATGAAAACAGTATCTCTAGTCACATTGTATCATGGATTCTAGCAGACAGGTCTGACAGAAATAGGCCTGTGACATAAACTGGTTAGCAAGCTATCTTTGTTAGTTAGACGTTTTATTGTCATTTTGTATGCACAGAATGTATATAAAATGCATTGATGTGGAAATTCAGAAAATTAATATATATGGTGCAAGTATGCAGTATTTTGGTTGATTTTATCAGTGTGAAGTGACATGATTTAGAGTTTGTTCAACAGTTCAGCTGTCTGATGGCAGTGGGGAAGAAGCTGTTGCAGAATGTGCTGGATGCATCGAATGCTACAAAGACTCACTAATACATGATTTGTCAAGCAGCAACAAAAATGTATGACTCTTTTAGGGCTATTTTGTCAGGATGCTGCCCTCTTTTGGTTTATTTTTAGTTTATTTGTAATTTTGTGTCTTTGTGGTTGTTTTCTAGCTGCCTTGAGTTACTTTCTGTTGCCACCTTATGCCTTTCTACTTTCCACTAGCTCCCTTCTAGTCACTTCCATCCACACCTGCTCTGCATTAGCTGATTTTTCCAGTCTTTGTTCTGTGTCCCATATATGCTGAGTTCAAATCCTCTAAAGGCCAGATTTGTAAGCCAATTACATCATAGCGCAGCGCCAAGGTCTGTTTGGATCATGTGGCTGTTCTGAAGGACGGGTCTGGTGTATCTTAGGTAGCCTTGGGTATCCCATGATTCATTGCAAGTCCAAGCAAGGCAGCTGCTCTTTTCCCAGAGGAATAGGATAATTGGTGCCGAACAGTCGTGATTATTAGAAGTGCAGTTTCTCCCAATACAAGTATGTGAATGGTATCATCTTAAACTAATGAAAATAGTATTTTAAATGGTTATTGAGTCAGAAATGTGGCGGTAATGTTTGATTTATCAAAAGATTTTAACTGTTACTGTATAAATGGGTTTGGCTGTAATTCAAGAACAGATTCTAATATATTAGCAGTGTGGGGACTATACATCTGAAATGATTTTTATCATATCTATTAATATCTATTTTGCACAATTTGCTTAACTAAGTATTTTTTGTTGTTTAATACAAGATATTTTGCACACATATTTTTACACATACATTGTCATAAATATATCTTTCTACCTTTTTATATCATTACATTTACTTTTATCTGTTCATGCTCCTGGTGGTTGTCACCTTTATTCCATTCTGTCTTCTCATGAGTGTAGTCTTTTTTCACTTTACAATAAAAAATAAAAAAGAAATAAAAAGAAACAGTAGTGAAAAGTTTGTATTCAATCTTTTCCTGCTTTATGTGTCAACACTCATGGTTGCTAAGGGGCAGAGCATATGGGGGGTAAAAGCCGCAGAAGGCTGGACCTGTTTGAATCCACAACCAAAAATCTTCTGGTCTCCTAATTTCCACAGACTTCGAAGGATCCAGTCTAGATAGATCGGGTCCTTGGTGAATGCAGCCTTTAAAATCAAACACAACCATATAATCTCCCTGTGCAATTCCTCTTTGCTGGTTTGTTGTTCTATTGTTGCTTCTCAACTCTGGCTCCCCACATGAGTTTTCCCTGATGTTATCTGATTTTTAGTTCTCAGTATTTTTGTTTTTTGAATTTTTGTATATGTTGCCTTGGATTATCTGATTAAATCTACAAAACTCACCTCTGCCTCCTGATCTCTGCATTCGGGTCCTCTAAAACCTCCACTCAACCTTGACATATTTGTTGCATCAATCTGATTGTGTGTGTGATCAGATTTCTGTTGTGGATTTGACATCAGTGTGGCACCATGACAGTGAGTAAAGATTGCCCAATATCTGCTTTTGTCTGCTCAGTTCTAAGATGCACATCTGTATTGCACATGTGTATTGCATATTCTAAGACCATAATGAATTAAACCAGGAGATCATGAAACAACTCAACAAAAACATAAAAATTTCTGCAGACCTCATTTTCCACAGTTAGGCTTCGAGTTCCTGATTTAAAAATAGCCAAAATAAGACAGAGAAACTGAGAAACCAAAGTGGAACTTTTAGGAAGTGTATTTGATGGGTGACCTAAAACTCGCACAGCATTAAAGAAACAATCATACTGAAAGTTAAACATGGTAGCGTGAAGGTATGGAGCTGCTCTCTACCGGAACCTGTGAGAGAATATCCAGGCATCGGTAGGCATTGCAAGCGTGTATATATTTTGATTGTGCAACAGAACAATGATCCTGAGTTCTTGTGCAAGAACAGCTCTGAATGACAAAATAATAGGTTTGTGAAAAGCCTACAAAAAATCTGGTTCTCTTGGCCCTTTTTGTTTGCATGTGGGATCAAACAGATCTTAAAATCAAATTTCCCTTTCTTTAACATTTGTCACTTTGCCACCTTAACATCCATTATAATCCCTTTAAACCATCCGTCCACCTGTCCGTCCGTCCGTCCATCCATCCATCCATCCATCCATCCATCCATCCATCCATCCATCCATCCATCCATCCATCCATCCATCCATCCATGTCAACCAACCAGCAAGCACCATACATGTCTTTTGGATGCTCATTGACATGCTGCAGGGTCTCTGTACCTCATTGTTACCCAGTTGAAACCAAGGCTGCTTCCCATAGGTGAAGATCTCCCAAAGGATGACCCCAAAACTCCACACATCACTTTCTGTGGAAAACTTCCTGTACATGATGCTCTCTGGGGGCATCCAGCGAATGGGTAGCATGGTGTGTCCTCCAACCTAAGTGGAAAAGAGAACAAATAAGAGGGAGAGAGATATCATTACTGCAAAAAGACAAGCTGTTTTTAGCGGATCTAGTTGTCAATACAGTAAGTTTGAATTATTGAGAGGAAAAAAATAATACAAAAGTAATACAAAAAATAAAAATTGAGTATAAAAACAAACCTAACCATAACATACAACAAGGTTGGCAGGGTCTGAACACACAAATGGTCAAAGCTAATAAGAAATGTGAACCTCTTCCATCGATTAATTAATGCTTTATTTTGTTGAATCTAATTTTTTTTTTGCAGATTCCATAGAACAGATAATAAACTGCAATGAGAAAGTTGCAAAAACGTCCCGATATGAGCACCCAGAGTTAACACAGATGAGGCTGTGGCCTGAAGTCTTTCTAAATTGAAGTCAACCAAAGCCAATGGCCCAGGTGGCCTTAAGGACCACTCACTCAAAAACTGTGCTTTTTAAATTTACCTTTTTAAAAAGCTGTCTAATTACCTCCTTGTCACATGTGTCACATACTCTAGATCCATACCAAAAAAAGCCAGGGGCAATTTAACCTGAAGGTTTCAAGCCTATTACTTTAACCTTTGTTCTGTGTAAAACTATGGAGAGAGAGCTTGATGTCTTGACCACTACTGGCCACTTTTTAGTTTGCCTTTAACAGGGAGTGAGGTACTTCACATTCTGTATTGACATTGCTTGACATGGTCTTAAAACATATTCTGCTTGTTAAAGCATATGCTAGAGTTCTGTTTATAGATTTTACTGCAGCTTGCAATGCTATAAAACTGCATACTCTTCTGAAAAGACTGACAGATTCAAATATAGATAAGGGCTTGATGCTCTGGATCAGAGAATTTCTCTGCAAGCGCCCTCAGAGGGTCAGTGCTAAAGACTTCCAGTCTGGAGAGCTCATCACAAGCACTGGCTGTCCATGGGGTAGCGTCCTTTCACCTTTGCTCTTCTCTCTGTTTATAAATGGATTTTCAGTTAATGATTCAAACTTTAAGTTCATTAAATATGCAGACGACACAGCCTTAGTCAGGCTGCTTCAGAAAACTGCTTTCTCTAGTGAGGTCTCCTACTATTCCTATATTAAAGCTCTTGAAATATGGTGTCTTGAGAGCAAGCTAGAAAGGATTGTGTCTAAATTGAAGAAGCAGGTTGATTCCACAAAGCAAGAACTGGCAAAAGACCCAGTTCAAGTTTATGGCCAGGTTGTTTAAACTGTGGAGACTTCACGGAGACCCAGTCTTGGTATTAGTCCACATTTTGGAACTTGTGTATTCGACACATATTGAGAGTTTTTTGACCTTTCACCACTTTGCATGGTTTGGTCATTTGAGTTGTGTTTGATAAAATTTTGAAAATGGTAAGTACAATTCTAGGGAAACCCCAGAAGCCTCTGACCCACACCTACAAAGACAGGACAAGAAGGAAGGCTCAGAAATCTAGAAGATATCTCTTATGCTTTGTCCATGTGAGTTAGAACTTCTGAAATCTGGGAGGAGCTACAGGGTTCCCCTGACCAGAGGAACCACAAAAAGATTCTTTGTCCCGAACACCATGACTCTCTTGAATTCAAAAAGTAAAGTATGATTCCTTGTCATGTTAGGTTGTTGACAGTGGCACAATGCAAAAAAAAACAAAAACAAAAAGCCACTGATCAACCTCCACCTTTCTATACACTGGATGAATTGATGTGAGAGCATTTTTGGTTATGTTATTAATGCTCCCTTAAACTTCGGTGAAAATAGAAAGCCTTTCATTACTTCATAATCCTGGCAAGATGATCAAAGACTTAAAGCAAGTCACTGAGTGGGTTCTAAAAGAGATGGGAAATGTGGAGTCAACAAGTCATAACCAGGTGAGTCCAATCTGCACAGGTTGATTCACTGTGAATATTGGACTCAGCTGCTTCAGTGGGTCGGTAGATCAAATACATGACATGGAGATGACTTGTTGACCATCTCTGGGTTCTAACAATTCTTCTGAAGCTACTAAGAATATAAAATAAAATGTTAAATGCAATATGGATCCTCATATTATACAGCACGAATGACTAGTAATGCAAATGTGGCCTTTTGAATTTAACATATTCTTAAAAGAAGAAACTAAAGAAAAGAAACAAAAACATTAACATAAAGGTTTAAAGCAGAAAAGTTGACTTTTTCGTCTGCTCCCTCCCAATCACCTTCTGAGGAAGGAGCCCGGGTCAGTTACAAAAAGATTTGGTATAAATAGTTCGATTTATCTAACCCAACGCGTCACAGAAAAGGAAGGTCCATAACCATTTAAGAAAGCGGAAGATCAGGCCCTAATTGCTTTCTATTGACAAAAAGGACTGTTTAAACTATGGCAACCTAGTTACCATAACTGGACCACTACAGAATTTATCAAATGAGAAATTAAGTACATACCATGGGTTGTACCCTATTAAGTGTATTCAGAATAAAGACTATATTCTGCTTGTTTTTATGTAGGAAAAACAATGTATGCACAAGATTGATTTATTTTAAGCATCATTAACATGATTGCAAGTAAATGTGGTAAGCACTGCACATGACACCAGGAATAATATTCAGTACCTGTACCACTAGTTGCATGAATTTTGAATATTTTGCTCTGGGTTAGTTTTTCCCCTTTGCTGTTGTTACTTTGACAGCTTTGTCAATATAAAAAGAATTATTTTGAAGCCCTCTCTGGGGCTTTTTTTATCTACAAGGAAACAAACACACTCCTGCAGTGTATCAAATACACAGATATCGTCCATCCATCAAAACCACCCATCAATGCATTCTCTGATCCTCCAAACACCAGCCTGCCAAAACAAACATCTGTGCAAATGTTCAATGCTCAAAGATAACATCAAACCAAATCTACAGTACAAAATAAGGCCTTAAATGTACGTGACTCCCCTATCTGAGGGTAAATAAACCTTCACCCACCTCCAATCTCTACCCATGGGTTAGACCACAATCAGATTCATTTAATCATAACAAGCTCCTCTCCAAACTCCATTTACCAGCTCTGACATCTGTGCGTCTGTAGCTGTGAGTGCAGCATGGCTTTTTAAGTGTCAAGGGAAAAAAGTAAACTCAAGTGTTTCTAATTACCTCCTACTTCTGTGTCACATTCAATGCAGATTTCCTTTGAATGTTAAACATCATATCTGTGTGTAAGCTTGACGTTGCGGCTCAATCTGGTGGAGGTTTCTTGAATAAAACTGTCAATCTGCCAAAAGGCTGCTTTATGTCTTTGGTGTTTATTTACAGCATCTTCTAGTTTATACACTTAATCAAATGTAGTTCCTTGGAATTAGGCTTGTTTGTTTTGCTTTATCTGATACTCTCTCTGAAGTTTTGCTATTTCTGAGTCTACAAGTGAGTTTAAATATTAGCCCCGCCTTACTACTTAACATTGACAGATTTCAAACTGTTTTACAAATTGACTTGTAGGAAAATTTATGTCCAATCAGAATGTAGAGAAAACAAAATAACTTTAATGTTGGCAAACACATCACATTAAACACACACGTTTTTTACCAAGTATTTATATTTTCAGTTTTATAATATGAACAAAGAAAAAACATATAACACAACCTACAGTATGTGTTGTTGTTTTTTTAGCAAAATGGATAAACTGTGCTTGAGAAAACTGTAGAGCAAGGTACAATAATGTCTTTAGACAGGTGATTTTTCTCCCTTTCCTCAAAATAAGGGCCAGTTGAAATTAAAACTGAGTGATGTAAAGAAAAAGTTACACTGTGATCAGAATAACGGAGCCTGTCTGCCTGCCTGTGTGTTTCCTGGATGGGGCCGCCTGTGGAGCTGGTTGACAGTTGCCTTTTGTATCACTTTCTTTTTGTTTCTCTGCTTCTGTCTCCTTGAACCACAGTCGGCCTCGGCAGATGGCCGCTCAGACTGAGCCTGGTTCTGCTGGAGGTTTCTTCCTGTTAAAAGGAAGTCTTTCCTCTCCACTGTCGCTACAAGCATGCTTAATTGAGGGATTCCCCTCGAGTCAATGAGTCGATGCAATCAGCTGGTTTTCCTTAGATAGAAAACTTTGAATCAATTTGACTGGATGATGTGGTTGAATCGTCTCCGTTGAGATTACATGTTTTGTGAATTGGATGGTATGTAAATAAACTAAATGATTTGAATAAAATTGGAATAAAATTATATCCTGATAGAGAGGTGTGATTTATGCTAATGCTTACTGTAGTCCAGTAATACCCCATTAATTCATATGACTATCCAATAATGTCATTCAAACTGGGGTAAACTGACCTGTTACACTGTGCTTTGTAGGATGTTAATTTCCTCATTATCTCTCATTCAGCATAAGATGCTGAGTCTGTAGCTTATGGGAACAAATGATGTCTAAATAACTAAAGCAACCTTTTTCCAATCCAATCATATAACAATTTGATAAAAGAACATATCCGCATGTAAACATAGCTTGTGTTTTTTTTTATTTTTTTTTATATGTTTTTTAATAGGAATTGTATGTGATAAAGTAAGGTATCACTTTTAATTGTAACGAAATTATAAAAAGGGTGCTATAACACAGTTGTAGAGGTTTAAAAGTTATCCTATTTCGACTATAGGATTGATCCTTAACCATTAGCAGGTCCTTTGCTGGTAACCAACAGGTCTGTGGGGGTAATACAATTCCCTGTGATGAGATTGTCAGTGAGACCAAAACCCTAAGCTGCCAAAGTGTAAACCTGATGCAATGCCAATGGTTGAAGTTACAGTAAACACTGACACTGCCAGCAGAAAGAGGGGGGCCACTCCAGCAGCTGGAATTAGGAGGGAATTTGGCTGGAAACCGGAGGCCATTCAGCGGGAAATTTTATCTGCAACAACGGTATGTTGCAGTCTTATCTCAGTATGTAAACAACACCACCCTGCAGTTTTCTGCTACTCAAAGGAAGCATTAAAAATACATCAGTTTTTATGTCACCCCAATAAGATTATTGTCCTTACCCCACA